ATTCTGTTCCACCATTGCTTTTTTGATAATTATTGATATAATTATTTTTATAACGAAACGTGAAGCGTTTGTTAAGATCCATTTCCTTTTTTTTTTTTAGGTGAGAAAAATATAAAATCACGTCAAGGATTACGCTGCAGTGTATGTTACAACGTATTTCCCACAAAATACAAGTTGGTGTGTCACACGAGGGTTCACACGGGAGAAAAGCCCTTTCAGTGCGAGATCTGCGGCAATAAATTCGGTCAGAAAGCGTATTTAGTCAACCACCAGAGAGTTCACACGGGACTGAAGCCCTTCGAGTGTCGAGACTGCGGCCAGAAATTCAGAGATTCTCCCTCCCTGAGAAAGCATCACCGCACTCACACCGGCGAGAAACCCTTCGAGTGCTCTGTCTGCTCGGCCAAGTTCAGTCGCAAGGAAAGCCTGAAGATTCACTTACGAAGTCACACGGGCGACAGACCCTTCGTCTGTAACGTGTGCGGAATGGCATTTATGAGCGGGTCTCACAGGAGAAGACACGAATTGCGGCACGTGAAAAAAGAAAAGTGAATTCCGAAAGATCCGAATTAAATACTGAATTAAAATTTTATAATGTTCATATTCCTCTGTGTTAAGAATTTCGAAATATTCTCCGCATTGTAACAGACTTGGCTTTGAAGAATACCAATGTAAGTACACGGAAAATAAGGTAGTACGTAATAAATATTTCCCCTTTTATCGTGCCACGTACTTAATCATCATCCTACGAAACACAATTTAAAATACGACGTAATAATTTAGGACAAATTCGTATTGGGAAACCCGTCAACTTTGATCTAGCGATCCAGAAGTTAGGTCGGCACCTCACTGATAACCAGAAAATTTCGGCTTCTACACACGGTAGTTTTTCTCTACGAGCGTCTTCGTTGCCGGATGAAGTATGAAGAAAATACAGCTTTTCTGGCGATTTTTGCACTTTTCGATTGCTTATATTTCGGCAACCGCGTTATATAAAATATTGAAATTTTGTATCCTACCCAAGAAAACAATTCACTTTCGAACAAGACATTCGGAATTACTCGTACTTCGATGTTCGGAGGACGGAGAGAGAGCTACCCCGAAAATCGGCAATTCTGATTTCCGTATAATATACTCAGTGGGGACTTTTAACAATAATCTACAGGACGAAGAGCGTAGCGCCATATTTGGTTTTCTTTACAATGATCTTATTAAGCTTCGTACAGATTTAGATTTAAAAGCGAGGTTGAGGCCGAAGTTTTAAACGCGAAAACGTGTACGTCGGACGTTCAGCGCCACTTTCCTGTAAGCCTAGAAGTTTGACAATGGTGTTTGCATAGTCAGTGGAATCATGCTCGACATTCCAAACACCATTGTCAAACTTCTAGATTTACGGGAAGGCGGCGCCGAACGTCCGACGTACACGTTTTCGCGTTTAAAACTTCGGCCTCAACTTCGCTAATACCGAGGAACGGCGAAATTAAAATATTCTGTGGCCTCACGTGATATAACCAGAGTCGATAAATACAATTAATCAATATTTTTAATTAATATGCATCAATGTCCTTAATTTAAACAAATTCTTTCAATCACCATAACAGTGTATTTCTATTAATAGGTCTTATCACAGTGGTGTATAAGATTACAGCAACACAGTCACACAGATTATAATTGTTTTATTTACAATTACAGGTAATTGTAAATAAAACAATTTTAATCTGTGTAACTGTGTTGCTGTAATCTTATACACCAGTGTGATAAGACCTATTAATAGAAATACACTGTTATGGTGATTGAAAGAATAATCAATATTTTTATTCAGGTACAGTGTACAGTACATACTCGGTACCGCGGAGCATTGCCGAGTTAACTTTCGGTAGAATCAAATTATTTTTCCATCGATAGTTGTAGTTAGAAGGCCTAAGGTATTTATTTAATTCGTCACTTATATAAGATTCTTCCTCGCCCACCTTTATTAGCTTAAAACTTTTTAGAAGAACTTGTTTTGTATATAAAGCTTTTATTTTATCAATTTTGGTCCGGTTATAAAAAGAAGTGACAGAAGAATCATAAGGTAACTTATATAATGCTCTTATAAAGTTATTTTGTATAACTCGCAACCTATTCGATACAAAAGAAGCCGTACCCCATACGGAAATACCATATCGAAGTTTGAGTTCCACGCAAGCGTGATATAAACTCATTATTCTTTTCAGTATTCCAATAAATCGAGATAAAGACAGTGTTAAATTATTTATATGATTATTCCATCGTAATTTATCATCAATTTCGATAGCTAAATATTTTACAGTATTAACTCTACCAATACGTTCGTTATTTATTCTTACTTGTATATCTTCTAAATTAACCTTTTTGTTTTTATTTGATAAACGAATATACATGTATTTTTTGTTTTATTTTCATTTACGCTTAAGTTATTATTTTCCATATACAGTAATACCCCGAATTTACGCGATAGGTGGAACCGAGCGATAACCGCGTAAGTCGGGGTATAATTTCGCAATTTGCTTAAACAACCTCTTCTTCTGGCTAATTAACTTTATTGTATGACTCGAAATAATTTTTGCCAAAAATGCCTTTCGCTTTTCTCGGTTTTCTTATTTGGTGTTATTATAGGAAAATATTTATTAATGAAAATCTGCAGGATATCCCGAAAGTAATCCGCCAATTGGTCAACAGAAAGATCTGCGGAATAATAATAATCCCAAGCGAAACAAGCTGACAATGCATTACGTAAAAGATGTATTGACGAATTATTTATTTTTCTACGTGTTTTTAGCGATTTACCACCCATTTCCGTTTCTTTCCTCGGGAGAAAGAAAACTATAGGTGTGTAGGCACCAACGTGGGCGATGGTCGATTGGCACTACAATCCTTTGTTTAGTCGTAAGTAGCGGAGCTCTTGTCGAACACACCTGAACTGTGTCGTGGCAGGTCGAATAAGCGCGGTCGTCTGACGAAACGCTCACGTCATCCACGGGAGGCCCTCTGGTGGCGACTGTAGGCGTTAGCGCCTCAGGTGTATGATCCGACAATAAGTCCCGATGAATTAAAAATTCCGACTCACTTATACTGGTTAACCCGAAGTCAATCGAGGAGTGAGTGTCTTTATCGAATCTGGTCGGTTGCCTCTTATCAGCCAAAAGTGGTAAATTTTCTGACAAACAAAAGTTTAACGAGTCACAAGTAGAAGAGTCTTTAAGTAAATCTATATTAAAATCGCCGATAATAAGTAATTTATAATTCCTTAATTTACTAATTTTAAAATGAATTATAGAATTTACTACATCGAAAAATAAACTAGTTTGAAGCCGGAGATCGGTAGAACTTTACTAATAGAAATTGTCATCACATCTATGTACTCTTTAGTAAATGTCAAATCAGGTATTACCTCGTAAACCAAATCCTTATTTATAAACAAAACTATACCTCCGTGTTGGCTTGGTTATCTTTCGATTTTTCCATATTAAAATTATTTATTTTAAACGGAGGGCGAGTTTCATTAGTCCACGTTTCACAAAAAGCCAGGAAACCAAAGTTACAATCGTAACCAGAAATGATGCGATTTATCTCCCGATATTTGTTTTTTAAGCATTTTACATTACTATAAAATATATAAAGTCCATCCCTTTCAAAATTAGTTATCTTATTACGTTTTAATAGAACTTCCATCGTGAAATAAACTCTCAATATACTCTAACGTAAACACTCGCGAAGGTGGAGAAGTTGCATTTAACTTTATGTAAATTATACCATTTTTGATCCAAGTATTTAGTATTTTCCCCTCCTTTAAAACTCTAGTTTTATAAAAAAGATTTCCGTCGTACGGTGTAAGATGATCATTTATATAAATTTTATATTCTTCATTAATTATATTACACGCACTAGAGGTAATTTTTAATTTATTCTCGTTAATTTTATCAATAATTTTTTGCTTGGTAGTAACATTAGCCAATTTCACTATAATCGGCTTTGACTCGCGCGACAATGAATTTCTTTCGCTCGGAAGAGACCTAGGCCTGCAGCAATTTACAATAGATCATTTATCAAATGTATTATCCACAAATGCCGTAACTTTATAAACAATATCGATTAAATTTTCATTTAGGAAACAAAGTAGGAAGTCCAACAATTTCTAAACTTGCTCATACAAAAAATACAATAATAAAACTACATACGCGATACAAAGTTTTAAAAAATGATTAATTAAATAGAATTACATGGTAAAATTTATTCTCCAATTCCGTAATTATATCGTCAAAATGAATTTTTCACACACTTCGCGTTCTGTCGACCGCAGCTAATGGAGTCCGTTAGTCATATTAGAGTCGGCAAATATACTGATCCTTGAGCTGTGCTCTATAATGTGTCGGGTAGCCGATAGCTGCCGCTAGAGTCGCATTACGGCGAGAAGTTGTTGGTTTATCTATTTGGTTAGTAGTTTTACCGTTTTCAAGCAATATTGTAACTTTTTTCTGCCGCTCAGTCAAAAAACATCTTATTCGTAATCACGTTTTTAATTTTATATCGTGTATAAAGAAAGAAAAAGTATATTTGGTTTATAAAAAAATTTGAAGGTGATAATTTGAAATTACAGATGAGAATGCGGTGTAAATAAATCGAAAGTAAAATTATTTTACATTTAATTTACTCACATTTTAAATAGAGATTTGTTTAAAACTTTATATTGTTTTACATTTATTTTTTATAATCGTGGTAAAAATTATACAATGTATATTTTTGAAGAGTCGTGGCATTTCGCGATTGACCCGTGCTGCGCGGTTGCCAGCGGCGGCCCTGCTTATAGAGAAATGAAGAAACGAGAGCGGGTCTGCCGCGTAAAATTTTAAAATGAGGGATTGTCGCGCGTCTCCGTTGTGGTTATTTATTTTTTTTTTGGTGAAAATGCCAATGGCCACCGGTCAAAAACGACTTATGGTAAACGATGGGAGTCTGCTAAGGGTTTGTGAAATACAAAATATTATCGCGGTTCGGTACCGAACCCGAATAATTGTCTGAAAATGTTTCTTCGGATAATATGCTTTTCGATTATTCCGGGCAACGCAAAATTGTAATTAACGCTTTCGGTATATTGTACTATACGTTAACGAATCATCGAATTTATTCAGTTTTTTTAGTCAAAATGAGCAGAAGTAACCCTTTTTACCCCTGCGGGGCTTAATGGCAGGCGCTGCATTCCTCCAAATTATCGCGCATCCGTTCGGGACACGGGTGGGCCGGGGTGGATATGCGCGGTGGAGGATGCGATAAGAGTTGGAATCTATAAAAATAGCGCCACCTAGTTTATGGACGATCCCTAAGGATAGGCGACCAGAGACGAGACGTCGCTCTTTAATGAAAGTAAACGAGTAGGAAGGAGTCCCGATGGATACCAAAGGTCTAACTTCTGGGCTACGGAAAATATAACTTCGTCAATTCCCGAATCGCCATAGATTTCCGGAAAAGACCCGACGATTTTATATCGGCGGCCCGATGGTTCTGGCGGTAAAGCCCGGGAAATTTTCGGACTGTCGTATTCTTTACTTCGGCAGAAGGTATTCGGTCGTTTGGCAATTTTTTCCATCCGGCGAGCGCTAAGAGGCCTAAGGTTTAAGCGGAAGTATACGGAAAAAGGCCCACCGGTGGCCGAGTGGACGAAAAGGCCGAACACCGGTAGTCGGTGAAGGGTTGGCCCGGCCAAGAGGAGTTTTTCGGGTTTTCTTCGGGTTAGTAATACCTAAATAGGGGTGGGGTTTC